AGGGGGGACCGGGATGGGGAATACATGTAAATCCATGGCTAATTCATTTCAATGTATGACAAAAACCACTGCAATGATGTAAAGTAATTAGCCTCCAACTAATAAAAATAAATGGAAAAAAAAAATAAAAATAAATAAATAAATAAAAATGTTTTCACATAATGTCCTCCAGAATTAAATGTGATTAACTATTGGATCAAACACTGCTTTGGAATACCCAAAGACTCCACCTATTGGGCTGGATAAATGTGAGCATTGTTGCTGAGTGAAAGAGTGAAGTTAGAACCATTGAATGTAAACTCCATGTAGAACATTCCTAGTGTGTCTAAGTCTTAACCTTGTTCTTCTTAAAAATATCACACAATCCCAATTTGAATCTTAAGGCAAGTCAGATGGGTCTGGTGTATAGATGGAGGTCTCATAGGGCTGGGGCATGTTATTCTTTCAAGTAATGTTATTTTTCTTAGGTCTAAATTCAAATAAATATGTATTTCTCCCAGTTTTGAACACACACTGCTGGTTTAGTTTTGGGGGAAAAATATTTTCCTTAGAACATTAAGTTTCAAAAACAAAAGCTTAGTTAATCCATATTCTGTTTTAAAATGAAAATTAATAGCTTATATATAAACCTTGATTTAAACAAACTCTGAAGGGTTTTTAAGTGACCTGTTGTGTTTCTAGGTACCTTCTTCAACAGTAGGACCATGCTGCTGATTCAAGAATAGAATTTATATAAATACATGCAGAGAATCGTTTTTAGACTTGGGGGGGGGGGGAATCCTCTAAACTTGAAGCATCACTATGAACAAAGCTAGTAGAGGTGATGGAATTCCAATTGAGCTATTTCAAATCCTAAAAGATTATGCTCTGAAAGTGATGCACTCAATATGCCAGCAAATTTGGAAAACTCAGCAGTGGCCACAGGACTGGAAAAGGTCATTTTTCATCCTAATCCCAAAGAAGGGCAATGCCAAAGAATGTTCAACCTACCACACAATTGCACTCATCTCACACAGTAGCAAAGTAATACTCAAAATTCTCCAAGCAAGGCTTCAATAGTACGTGAACTATGAACTTCCAGATGATCAAGCTGGATTTAGAAAAGGCAAAGGAACTAGAGATCAAATTGCCAACATCTATTGGACCACAGAGAAAGCAAAAAAATTCCAGAAAAACACCTTCTTCTGCTTCACTGACTACTCTAAAGTCTTTGACTGTGTGAATCACAATAAACTGTGGAAAATTCTTAAAGAGATGGGAATACCAAACCTTACCTGTCTCCTGAGAAATCTGTATGCAGATCAGGAAGCAACAGTTAGAACTGGACATGGAACAGCAGACTGATTCCAAATTGGGAAAGGAGTACACCAAAGCTGAATACGGTCACCCTGCTTATAAGCAGAGTACATTATGGGAAATGCCAGACTGGATGAAGCACAAGCTGGAATCAAGATTGCCAGGAGAAATATCAATAATCTCAGATATGCAGATGACACCACCCTTATGGCAGAAAACAAAGAATTAAAGAGCCTCTTGATGAAAGTGAAAGAGGAAAGTGAAAAAGTTGGCTTAAAATTCAACGTTCACAAAACTAAGATCATGGTATCCAGTCCCATCACTTCATGGCAAATAGATGGGGAAACAATAGAAACAGAGACAGCCTTTATTTGGGGGCTCCAAAATCACTGCAGATGGTGACTATAGCCATGAAATTAAAGGACACTTGCTCCTTGGAAGAAAAGCTATGACCAATCTAGACAGCATATTAAAAAGCAGAGGCATTACTTTGCTGACAAAGGTCCGTATAGTTAAAGCTGTTGTTTTTCCAGTAGTCATGTATGGATGTGAGAGTTGGACTATAAAGAAAGCTGAGTGCCAAAGAATTGATGCTTTTGAACTGTGGTGTTGGAGAAGACTCTTAAGAGGCCATTGGACTGTAAGGAGATCCAACCAGTCCATCCTAAAGGAGAGCAGTCCTGAATATTCATTGGAAGGACTGATGCTGAAGCTGAAATTCCAATACTTTGGCCACAGATGCAAAGAACTGACCCATTTGAAAAGACCCTGATGCTTGGAAAGATTGAAGGTGGGAGGAGAAGCGGACAACAGAAGATGAAATGGTTGGATGGCATCACCAACTCAATGGACATTGAGTCTGAGTAAGCTGTGGGAATGGTGATGGACAGGGAAGCCTGGTGTGCTACAGTCTATGGGGTCACAAAGAGTTGGACACGACTGAGCAACTGAACTGAATTGAAAGTTGAACAAGAATTTAACTATTTGTAACTTTTAAATACTATTAAAAATCACTGATAATGAATAGTATTGCTTTTTGAAAGCCTGTATGATCACATTTTAAACATAAATATGATGGTAACAATTAATAAGAAGGCAGTGCTGGAGAGGGTAGTACTGATAGATAGCTAATCGCATATCCAGCAGTGTTGAAAAGCAGTTTTTCTCAACCATCTGGGGTTAAATATCAGTTTTATTTAATTTTATATTTTCAGCCCATTGCAACTTAGTCACTGATTCACTGTGCATGGCTAGTGTGCAGTTCAATCATGTGCACCTCCCCCTTCAAGAGCAACACTCACCTTGGTCCCTGGGCTGTTCAGGATCCACCCATACTGAGTGTGGATGTCACGGCAATAGCTGATGGCTCTGAGTTTCTAGCTTTCTTGAGTTTCCTGTACTTACTTCTAACCTAGTTACAAACAGTTCACAGACTGGCACTAGTGCGCAGACCACACAGTGAATTTCACTGTCATAGTAATCTTTGCAACAACCCTCTGAGAATCGTACAATTCCCACCTCAACGTTCAGACAAAGACACTGAAGCACAGTGGACTTCCCAACCTTAAGAGCTCCTGGGAAACAGGAGCAGAATTTGTATCTAAACCCAGGCAGCAATGCCCAGAACCAGTATTTGTCCCTGGAAGGCTGACTCCAGAGCTTGAGCTCCTCCCTGTGGGCTTATGTCATTTTAACTACATGTGAAGGAAGAACAGTCTGGTTTAGGCCACCAGATGAGGACCTCCTCAAATACACCTTCTACACACTCCTTCATCCACACTCATCTTGCTCTCCTCTCCTGGTGATTAGGAATCACCAACGTCAGTGATTCCACCCTGTGCCTTTGGATGCTCTTGGTCCGTCCATCATCCCAACGAAAGAACTCCAAGTGCAGGAATCATATCCATCTTCCAGATGAAGAAGCTGAGATTCAGAGGTTAAGATACTTACCCAAGCATGTAACTAAGGCTACATGGCTGTATGGTGTCCATAGTCCATTTTGTCAAGGATGGTGCCAGTTTTTCTCCCTGGCACTCTGGATGGTTACTGCTTTCCTTTTACTCTCAAATGTCCCACTCTGGACAGTACATTCTTTGGGCACCCACACCGCTGGTGAGGAGCAGCGCTGGTGATTTGCCTGACAGGCAAATCAGTGTGACTGACTCCAAAACCAGGGCTTTCTGTTACCCTAGGCTACTTCATAGAATTCCAAAATTATGAAGTTGACAAGGAAGGTTTGTTCTCAGTTATCATTTATTCATTCAGCAAATATTTACTGAGTGTCCCATATGTGACAAACACTGTGCTGAAAAATGTAATTAAAAAGTGAATAGGACACAGTTCCAAGTCTTGTTTTCACTTGGTTTAGTGAGAAAACAGACTATGTATGAATACTCATAGTCAGGGCAGGCTACATAATTTACATAACCTGTGTAAAACAGAAAGAACAGGGCCTCTTGTTTAAAAATCAAATGACCATACCAGATGACAACAGGACACTAACCAAGTATGGTTCAGTTTAACAAATGAGAGGTGCTCAGGGTATTACAGAAATGCGAGTTACCTAGGATGATGACTGATCTTAAGGTGACTTCCTAGAAGAGGTGACAACTGGGCTGACCCTAGAAAATGAGATTTCTCCCCTTCATGGACCTTCTCCTCTATTTTTTAAACCAGAGCATATTGATGAGAATCACTAAGTCATAATTTTGACTTACACATCAAGAGTTTCCCCCACAATACATGTTTATCTACCTTAGAGCTGTGACACAGGATGTAGGGGGACATGGAGACGTGCTTTTCAGACCTCCCTTCAAGGACTCGTTGCCTAGCTGCTGGAGGTGCTGCCAGTGGGCAACCTTAAACCACAAGCCTGCATGCAGTGACCCTTCCAGGTGGAGGTATAAAGACTTGGTCATTAAATGTGTCAGGACAACCCCGAAGGGTCATCTTCACTCCAGATGCCCCATGGGATCAGCTAAGGTTACCTGGCTATTGTTCCAGCTTGATCTTTCCTTCTTCCCTATCCCATTTCTTCCCTCCTGATTCCACAGTGTTGATTCCAAGGGCAGCCCTGATAAACATCCAAGCACTAAACTCTGAGTCTGCATTCCAGAGAACAAACATGCAACATGTATCAGAAAACATTCCAGTACTCAGGGAGGACTTTTATTTGAAAATTACTGGTCATACATGTACTTTAAAACATTTTAAACCCCCCAAATAAAATACAAAATGGTGGAAACAAGGAGTTTCTGTGTGAATATCATTACCTTTGGTTTAAAATCCACAACTTAATGTTGTCTGACCAAAATGAAATTAAGTTATACATTAATAAAAGAAAACTATTATGTTTAAACATATGAAAGTGCCATTTTATATAAAAGGCTGAATGTTAGCAGTTTCACATGTTCAATCTAACAGAAAAAAAAGCTATTAGCATTTGAAATGTAGAAAACATTATGCTTATGACTAACTCATGGATAAAAGATATAGTTATAAATTAAATTAGGAATTAGAAAATACATAATATTTTGGCTAATGATTGGTGGTAAGTATCAAAACTTGTAGGTTGTAGCTAAAGTGGATCTCAGAAAAAATGTCAGCTTTATATACTTATGTTAGAAAAATAATGATGTTATTAATCTGTTTCCAATTTAAGAATTTGAGGAAAAAATCTCAAAAGAAAGGAAAAGTTGAAAGAAAGAATGAATGATATGATGAACTATACAGAAAAACAGAGCATCAATCAAGCAAAAAGCTGATTCTTTGAAAATAGGAAAAAGTTATACAGGATTATTCATAAAAAAAGAGAAGCCTCAAAGAAAATTAAAAGGCCAAAAGAACACAGAGATGCTGCAGAAATTAAACATATAAGATACTGCAAATAAATTTATGCCAATTAAGCTCAAAACTCATAGGAAACAAATCCACTTCTAGAAAAATGAAACTTACCAAAATGACTCTGCAGAAATAAAACACTGAATAGAAAGCACATAATTACCAAAAGTTACCCAGACAATGATGGCTCCACAACACTGTGAATATGATTAATGCCACCGAATTGTGTGATTAAAAACGGCTATATGGCAAATTTTATGTTATATATATTTTACCACAACTTTTTTAATGTAAAAAAAATAAAATCCTCTATCTAGAAGACAGCCTAGAACATGTCTGTCCTTCATTAGTAAATCCCCTAGAGGGGTTCCTACTTTGATAAAGCATATTTTCTCTTCCTTCTCTTTTAGAGGGCTTCCCCCATGGCTAAGCGGTCAAGAATCTGCCGGCAATGCAGGGGACACAGGAGATGAATGTGCAATATTGCCCTTCTGTATTTTAACCATATTTTTTTTGGAGGGTGACACCTCTCCCTCTCTCCTATAATGTCACTTAAACTACATGTACTGTATGTTTTTCCTATTACTTTTCTCTATAGTATTTTAACCAGAGGTCTTTGAGTAGAAAATGGATCGTAGTTCTGTTAAAGGAAGTGGTGACACAAAATGGCAACTTCACACAGTCTTCAGGAATCCCTAATTAGAAAGTAATATGTAATTCTGGGAACAGTAAAAAAAAGAAAAAAAATTATAAGAACTTTGTTTCAAATCTTAGAAAATGAGTTTGACTCCAGAGTCTCTCAAGACACAAAACCTGGGAGACAGCTTTTATTGGTGGCCTGTACCTCTGATTTGGATAAAAAAGAAAATACTATAACACATAAACACAATAAATCCTTTTGCAAGAGCTTGAAATCACAGAGTGAAGTTGGATAAAAATTATAGATTAATATCTTGTAATATGTAAATATCTGTTGCTGGTGTGAAAAAAGAACAACATAATTTACACAGTGCAGAAACTGATTGGAACAATGCCTTTGGAATAGACATGAACTCATGGTAGAATCACAGAGTTGACTTAAAAGTTGTGAAGCTGAGGGTTATCCATTGGACATTCATAATATTCATAATCACATGGTCACTGTGAGTGATACCTGGTTATTCGCTTTCAGAGTGCACCTGCGGGGGGTGGGGGGAAGACAAAAACCACACGTTTATGAGTTTTAAAGTCCTTCTCCTAAGGCAACATATTCTTAGGTCCACTGCTTCGTGTGAAGCAAATCATATCACTACTATAGGCACAATAGGAAAAAACAGGGGTGTATTTATTCTATGGAGGAAGAAGCCCCATTAAAACCTTCACTGGGGCTAGACATAATGCCAAACAACCTGTAGATACACTTGAGTTCTGATCATTCTGATTCACAAATATGTTTTTAAGACTAGAGAAAATTGATAAGTAAAATCATTTTACTAACTCAAAACCTGGAGAGAAATTAAAAACAAGATAACAAAGAGGCTGGGAAATCTATTAAGAGTGCCTGACCAAGGTTTTCTCATTTTCACATATAAAATGAGCACAACAAATTTGGATGTTAATATCAGGGTGCAATCCCTATATTTTATAAACTCTGATTGACAGACATTGAAAATAAGGAGTAGGAAATGGAGAAAGCATAATACTCTGTAGTCATTAAAAAGAATGAGATAACCATATGCACTGATATGAGATATGATATTAAGTGATAAAAAGAAAGAACAGCTAACATTTGTGCTTAGAAACAGGAAGACCACATATTCACAAGTTCTTCCTGATACACAAAACAGCTCAACAGAAAAGTCCACAGAGGTGCTGGGGCTCCACCTTTGGAGGGAGCTGTGTGATGACAGTAGTGGAGAGTGATTTACTTTTTGTTCATAGATTTTTAAAAAGTATTTTAAAGTTTTAAATTTTGTAGTATTATATATGCCATGTGTTTTAAAATATATTATTATAAATATATTATAATTTTTTAGAACAGTGGTCCCCAACATTTTTGGCACCAGGGACTCAGTTTTGTGGAAGACAATGTTTCCACAGACAGGGCAAGAAAGAGAAGGGTCAGGTGTAAAGTGAGCAATGGGCAGCAACAGTTGAAGCATTCCTCCTTTGCACACCACTCACCTCCTGCTGTGTGGCCCAGTCCCTAACACCCACGGACCATACCAGTCTGGCCCAGGAGTTGGGGAACCCTGCTTTAGAATCTCTAAAGCTACACAGAACTATGGGTATATTTTTATTATTGGAAGGCAAGTCTTCTGTCTACAGGCTTTTAAAAAATGATCCCACTATTATATTGTAAAACGCTCTATATTCTCAAAGCCCTTAAGCATCTTCTCTCTCATATGATCCCTGTAATACGTGTGAAGAAGCCGACAGGGCTGTAATCCCTGCTCTACACACAGGTGAGGACCTGAGGCTCAGAGACCTTGGGGGACACAAGGCCACGTGGAGGCTAAGTGCCTGCTCCATCTATTCAAGCAGGTCCAGGCTTCCAGAGCTTGGATATGAGGATTTTATAGTTACACACTGGGAACAAAGAAACTTCAAAAAACCTCAATCATATCTGCTTCATCACAGAACAGAATGGATGACAGGCATTCATCCTTTGAGCTGAACTGTGTCCCCTCCAATTTTACATGTTGAAGTCCTAAACCCCACAGTACCTCAGAATGTGACTGGAGACAGTGTCTTTAGAGAGGCAATGAAGTTAAAATGAAGTCATACAGGTGGGTCCTAATCTAATAGACTGGAACTCTTAAAAGAAGAAATCAGGACACAGGCTCACACAGAGGGAAGAGCATGTGAGACACAGAGAGAAGACGGCATCTCCAAGCCAAGGAGAGAGACCTCAGAGGAAACCAACCCTACCAACATATTGACCTCAGACTTCCAGCCTCCAGGGCTGTGAGGAAGTAAGTCTCTGTTGTTTAAATCACCTACTCTGTGGTCTTTGTATGGCAGCTCTAGCAGACTAATGCCCCCTTCAGCTTTATGTATCTAAAAGGTACTTTCTCTACTATTTCATGGATCAGGGTCAATCAGACAGTGATCACCTCGCCTGAACTATTTCTTCAAGAAAATTCGATGTGGAAGCACCTTCTCCCAGATGTTGAGTTTTCTCTTCAGATGAATGAATTCTGTTCTATTAGAGTGAAAACCTTGTGACTTAGGCTAATCATCCCGTTGTTACAACTCTGAACAAGGCATTGATATCTGATGTTTGCAAATTCAAAAAACTGATAATCTAACAGTTTATCCTCCTAAGAGGATGCAGAGTATGCAGAAATAATGTCAAGATGGGATGAGAATCAAGAACTGCATTTCTTTCTGTAGAGGTGACCTGAGCCAGTGGCAGGACTGAAATCTAAAAGTGAGGTTCTGTCACCCTGTGAACCTGAGTGACCGCCTCCACCTTGGCGACCACGTGAAAGGAGCAGTATTCTCAGACTCAACACAGAACACAATACCTAGGTCTCCACTCAGCCTCCCCAGCAATTCCCCCTCTGTGCTCCCTGGACCAGCTCTGTGATCTTGGGTGATCCCTGGACCCAATCTCTTCATCCATGATGTGGGATAAAAAATTGTAGTGGATTAAGTGAAATCATACATGCAAAAACTGTGTAAAATAAATGATAAAGAACTACACAAATGTAACTTGCCATTAATATTCTTAGAGTAGGTTCAGGATTAAGAGACCAGGAATCACAAGATTTCTAATTCTATGACCTATGTCTGCTTCTGTATGTATCTTATGTGACACTTGATTTAAAACATTTACTTAAAGAACAGATTTCTAATTCTGTGTCTGCTGCAAACTAGCTTAACACCAATTATATACATGGGACCACATTCCTTCTAAGGACTTAGTTTCCTCACCTGTAAAATGAGGATGTTGAACCCTATTATCTTATCTGGTCATATCTAAACTTCTGAGATCAATTTCTCATTACTCAATGACTTGATCATACATAAGGATAATATAGTTTTTAAATGAACACTTTCACATCTAGGTGGGGACACCTCTCTTTGATGTGTAATGCCTAAGTTCAAAAGAACAAAAGGGTTTTAAGAGTCCTAGCTGCTTTGTGACTAGGTTATATGGGGAATTACAAATGATTATCAGGTCTCAGGAGGGAAATTCTGACTGGGAGACACTCTAGTAGATGAAAGCACTCTGTGAATTTTAGGCACAAAAAATACAGAGTTCCACGTTCAGGTTCTCAACATTTGCATACAACACAGTCCTTACCAAAAGCTATCTCCTACCCTATGAACAGTGGAAGCTACTGCTGTGCGTTTCCTCATTTCTAAGGAGGATTGATATGAAATAGTGACAGAGGGAATTTAGGCCACATTTTAGATACATTTTTCATATAGAAATACTGTTAGATACTGGGACATATTTTCTTTAACAGATATTTTAAATATTACACAAGTAATTTTATCCTACTTACAAGTGAAAATCTGGGAAATGCAGAAAAGTATGAAGAAGGAAAAATGCATCCATAATTTAATACCCAGAGATAAATTTTCAGGGGGGAAGCCTTTTCACATACAGTCTGAAGGCTCATCCCACCCCAAACCATACATCTCAAGCAGCAAGAACACCACACCTTCCCTCCCTCCACCTATCTTCCCATCAATATCAATCCCAACTTGTTCCAGAATGAATTACAGGTGGCTGGATGACAACGGCTAAGTCCCTTAAACTAGAACTCAGTTGTCAGATCTGTCCAAGATACTACTACCTCATCTTTGTTAGAAAGACACCACGTGACTGAAGGTCATTCATCAAGTGCCTTCCTCACACCATGTACAGTGCTTATTGCTTTAACACATCTCATCTTCAAGCCCCATCCAGAGTACAGTGTTAAGGTACTATGAATTCCTGATTTATCCTGATGACAATATACCTTCTTCTGGAAGTTAGAGGGAGCATGGGCAGGGAGGGGGTAATTGAATAAAATTCTAAACAACAAAGAATTAGGGATTAAGTGACAGTACCATGTAGTTTTCTTTACAGGTTAGAAACAGAAGCAACTTATACCTTTTTTTGGTAAATCTTCCTAGCCTCAAAATATTCCAGAAGTTTTTTCCTTAAACTCTCAAATTTCATGGATAGTCCTGGACAGCACTTGCATCACAAATGTGCTGAGGACCAATCAGAATGAAACATAAAGGGTCTGTAATATGAGAGTATTCCATGCTCTAAGGGAATCTGAACCTAGGGTCCAAGTGTGTGGTGAGTTCTATCTGAAATCTGTCTCTTAGGCACAGGTGCGCATATAGAGAAGCACACGCTCATCCTACATCCACCCCCACCACTGCTGCAGGTTCTCAGCAAACGTGCTTTCAACCTGCCACATGTTGTTAAGACCCAAAACAGTATACTAACACATATAGATGGAATTTAGAAAGATGGTAATGATAACCCTATATGCAAGACAGAAAAAGAGACACAGATGTATAGAACTATAGAACAGACTTCTGGACTCTGGGAGAAGGTGGGGGGGGGGATGATTTGAGAGAATAGCATTGAAACATGTATATTATCAATTGTGAAACAGATCGCCAGTCCAGGTTTGATGCATGAGCCAAGTGCTCAGGGCTGGTTTTCTAGGATGACCCAGAGGGATGGGATGGGGAGGGAGGTGGGAGGAGGGTTCAGGATGGGGAACATATGTAAATCCATGGCTGATTCATATCAATGTATTCATATCAATATTACTTTACAATATTGTAAAGTAATTAGCCTCCAACTAATATAAATAAATGAAAAAAAAAAAAAGACCCAGTCATGAAGCATAGTCTATGGAGGTTTATGATTGAAAAGGGCACAAAGACCCCTGATGGAGACTCTGAAGAGTGAACCTGGAGACAAATTACAACACCCTGAAGCAGGCTCACCTGTTTTGCCCTTTCAGTGAGGGCAGAGGCCTCTGCCTAGCCCAGTTTCTGCACCATCTTGTAAAACAGGCTATCTGTAGTTTGCAGCAAATCATATGGCTGGGCATATTCTTTCTGTCTCCCTGAATCCAAAACCTGTTAATCAGCAGAAAGAAACCAATTAGCACCAGTGTTTCACAGTAACGTATTATGTACATGTGTGTGTGTGTTAAGTCATTTTAGTTGTGTCTGACTCTTTGCAACCCTATGGATTACAGCTCACCAGGCTACTCTGTCAATGGGATTCTCCAGGCAAGAATACTGAGTGGATTGCCATTTCTTTTTTCAAGGGATCTTTCCAACGCAGGGATTGAACCCGTTTCTTGTGAGTCTCCTGCAATGGCAGACAGGTTCTTTACCATGAGTGCCAAATGTTTCACTGTAACATATTAAACTCGGACAATATTTCAGAAACCGGCAGGACAGGGAGAATCGGGAGAATCTATTTGGGTGGAGGACTGGCTGGTGTTTAAACGGTTTGATTCCCCTGTTTTGTAGGCAGACAAAGGTCTAACCTGATCTTTTATTATTATAAGGTTATAGGAAAGGAAGAAAATGGAAGTTTTACAGTATGATTTCTGGCACTCAGCAGTCTGTAGCATCTTATATTCTTCCCAGGACATTTGGGGTTATTATCACTAGTTAGTGCTTTCAGCTCTCAGACTCTGAGCTTTGAGGGATATTTATACAGATACACAGAGATGGCAAATATTTTGATTCAAGAAAATCAAAGTCAATTTATCTAAAAAGCAGGTTGATGTCAGAGAAACCAGATGGCAGGGACCTGACAGCAAATTGTCAAGTTGGTTTGACAGAATTTGAGCAGTGTTTGGGAAAGAAGAAGATGCTTCTGGAATTTCTTTCCAGTTCTGGATTAGTGTCAGCTGCTAAGAGGGGCAGAATCCTTCATCTGAGAGGTTAAGATGTTTCTTTAATTTGGCTGCGGTTGTAGTTTATTATTCTGAGAGTGAAAGGCTGGCAAAAGGAGCTGCTACAATAGCAGCTTTAGTAGAATTGCTCTGCACAAAAAACAAAACAAAACAAACAAACAAAAACCTCTAGAAATCCAATTTTCTCCTTGGACAAGATCAAAGAAGCAATTAAGAAATTGAGGTTGTAATTCTAGTAACCAAGGATCACACAGCACATGGAGCCAGCTCAGTCTGCACTCTCTAGGACCTGAACCTGTTTTCACAAATCATCTTTCACTGCTCCTTTTTCTTTCTTTCTAAATGCCTTCCTTACACCTCTTTTATTGCTCATTAATAGGTCTGCTGGGTTTCCCAGGTAGCTCAGCTGGTAAGAATCCACCAGCAATGCAGGAGACCCTGGTTCGATCCCTGGGTGGGGAAGTTCCCCTGGAGAAGGGACGGGCTCCCCACTGCAGTGTTCTTGGGCTTCCCTGGTGGCTCAGCTGTAAAGAATCACCTGCAATGCGGGGGACCTGGGCTCGATCCCTGGGCTGGGAGGAGCCCTGGAGGACGGCATGGCACTCCACTCCAGTATCCTTGCCTTGGAGAATCCCATGGACAGAGGATCCTGGCAGGCTACAGGCCATGGGGTCACAAAGAGTCAGACTCAACTGAGTGACCAAGCACAATAGGTCTGTGCTTACTGACTAAGCAGTGCAATAGGTCTGCTAATTGGAAACTGAGAGAGAGAGGAAGGGGCTCCTAACTCTCCCTTCCTACTTATTAGTGACTTTGGTTAATGATTTTTTTTTGGGGGGAGGGAGTGTCTGAAACAATTTTTGCTCAAATGATATAACTATAAAAACTGTTCTGATGTTAAGTAGTACTTTATTCTTCATTTAGAGTAAATGTATCTTAAGAGAGTATGCTGAAACTCTAAACAAGACACAGGTTGTTTTTCCACATCTAGGTATTACAGTTAATTCCATTCTTTGTATTTAAATATAAATATTTATTAAATCTCATAAAGTCCATTTTCCTATTAATCTTTTGTTCACTCCTGTGGATTATTGCTAAAGGCAGCTCTCTTAAAAGAGCCCAAGAATGACACAATCTATCATATCCACATAATAATTTATATCTTCTGTAACTTGGCCAATTCAGATGCTCTGAATGTACAATTTTATTTAAGTATAACATGACAGAACATAACTACTCATTCTGATGTTGAGGAAAAAAAATACAAATTTTAAAACACAGGTCTCCAAACACCTATGGTCAATGAATCTATGAAACAGTAGTCAAGAGTATACAATGGAGAAGACAGTCTCATTGGTAAATAGTACTGGGAAAGCAGGACATCTACATGGAAATAAATGAAATTAGAACACACTAATTTTTTGTGTATATACAACCATACAAAATAATCCATATACAAAATAAACTCAAAATGGTTTAAAGACCTAATATAAGGCTGGATGTTATAAAACTAGAGGAAAACACAGGCAGAACTCTCTTTGACATGAATCACAACAATATTTTCTTAGATCAGTCTCCCAAAGCAAAAGAAAAAAAGCAAAAGTAAACAAATGGGACCTAATCAAACTCAAAAGCTTTTGAACAGCAAAGAATACCACCAACAAAATGAAAAGGTAACCCCGAATGAATGGAATAAAATCAAATGATGTGACTGAACGGGGTTTAATATCTAAAATATACAAACAACTCATATAAATCAATATCAAAAAAACAAAAACAATCAAAAAATGGACAAAAGACCTGAATAGACATTTCTCTGAAGAAGACATACAGAAAACCAACAAGCACATGAAAAGATGCTCCACAACACTATTTATCAGAGAAATGTTAATCAAAATCATAATTTGGTATCACTCACATGGGTCAGAATGGCCATCATTAAAGAGTCTACACATAACAAATGCTGGAGGAGGTGTGGACAAAAGGATACACCACTGGTGGGAAAATAAGTTGGTGCAGCCACAATGGAAAACACTATGGAAATTTCTGAAAAAACTGAAAATAGAGCTACCATATGATCTAGCAATCTCAGTACTGGGCATGTATCTAGAAAAGACAAAAACCCTAATTCAAAAAGATACATACACAACATTCATAGCAGCAATACTTAAAATAGCCAAAATATGAAAACAACCTAAGTGCCCATCAACAGATGATTGGATTAAGAAAATGTGATACCACACACACACACACACTTATGCACTTATGCACCATGGCATATTACTCAGACCATAATAAATGATGAAATATTACCATTCGCATCACCATGGGTGAACCTAGAGAATCATACTAAGTGAAGTAAATCAGACAAAGAAAGACAAATATGATATCATTTGTATGCGGAACCTAAAAAATAATACAAACAAACTGACATATAAAACAGAAATAGACTCACAGACACAGCTACCAAAGAGGAAAGGAGAGGGCATATAAATTAGGACTATGGGATCAACAGATACAAACTACCATAAACAAAACAGATAAGCAAAATAGACTTAATGTATAACACAGGTAACTATATCCAATATCCTGTAATTATCTATAATGGAAAACATTCTGAGAAAATATATACATATTTAGGTGAATCACTTTGCTATACATCTGAAACTAACAAAATATTGTAAATCAACTATATTTCATCCTTACAAACAGGAGTAACACATAGCCAAAACACATTTGAGGAACACTTAAGTAAATTTTCATTAATTTCTGAATTGATTCTGCAAACATTTATCGCACATTTAAGTGCATTGATGGCATTTTGCTAGATGCTGTGGAAGACAAGAAATCACACGTAAGCCACAGACCTTGCCCCCAAGAAACCTGTACTGAGAAGGGAGAGAGAGAGAAGAAATTTCAAGTGTTTATCATGCAGGAAAAAAAAGCACAACAAGAAGAGTTTAGTAACAGAAGAGATGACTTCTGACCAGAGGTTCTCAGAAAGACCTTCAAGGAGGAGAGAGGGCAATGAACTCGGCCTTGAAGAAAGGACAGGCATGAACATGCAGAAACGGGTGGGTGGGTGGACAGTGGTCATTCCAGACACAGGGATTATCACAGGCCAGGTGGACTGGAGAGGAGCCTGGCAGCTCCTTAAGGGCAGGGTTATAGTTTTCCTTGTTTACCGCTGCATCTCAGGGCCCTGGCATTGTACACGATAAGTAACAGGAACACAGTACATGCCAGATGAAAGTTCAATGCAAATGAAACTAAATTCAGGGCGTGGCTGGGTGAGCGCCCAGTGGTGTGGTTTGTCAAGACTACAGGGTGAGATCAAGGGGAGGATGAGTCCAGCTGACATGGGAACAGCTAAGGTGGGGGATACAGGGATGACAGGATGAGGGATGTGGACCTGGGGGACCACATGCCTTAGGTGGATGGCTGTGGACAAGAGGGAGAGTGGGAGGGGAAATGCGGTAGGGTCAAACCATGGTTGAGGATGGAGGCTTCAAACTCGTTTATGTCAAATACTGGAAAAGATAAAGAAGAAAAGAGATAGTCAGAGAGGAGGGGGAATTGAGAGGAGCAGAAGTGCAGTACAGCCACAGATATTCCAGGTAGCTGTCCTACACATAAAGATTAAATGGAGCCACTGCAAGGTAATACAATTTGTTTTCATTGGCAGGATGCCATCAGTGACAATGGAGTGGCTACAGGATGAGGTGGGGGCAGCAGAGGGTGGAAGAAAAACCTAGTAAGAAAAGATGCCAGGAAGAGTTTTCAGTATGGTGACAAACATTAAAGGGAGGTCCCATGAGGGACAAATAGAGCGGGGAGGTGAGGATCTGAATATTAGACCTGTGATTCTGGCTGCCAGGTGACACAGGGACTGTTGTCCAATCTTGGAAGTTGGGTCCCTAATAAAATGGGTTCTTGTGATTTTCTCAGAGACTAGACACTCAGAGTTTTTTCTTAGGTCTTGAAATAATAAATCATTCTTCTTACCCATGTAATGATGAATGCTGGGTCATGGTCACTTCCATAATTGCTCTCCCAAATCCGCTGCTTTTGCATGTAAGCACCCCCTTCATATGCACGTAAGCACCTCCTTCATAAAGTGCTTCTTCTCCCTTACTGTGCTCTCTACTTCCATATTAGTTATCTTTCCTCTAAAAACTTGAATGAAAGCTCTTGGCATGTTTTTGA